ATTTTATACCCTATAAAAAAAATTTTATCCGTTATTTCTGTAAATACTCCGTAAAAATGAGCTTTTCACGGATCCATTCACGGAAAATGTAAATAATTCGATAAATTCCGTGATATAAGGTTATTAATTCCGGAATATAAGCCTTTTACAGAAAAAAGATTGCGTATAAAAAACGGATCGACAGGGTATCATATGATGATACGACAGATACGTGCATCATTTTTACTTAATTAACGTATAGTATAATTTTGTTTCCATGTAGATTGTAGATGTTTGTATCATGTGATCATCAATTAAGCGTGTCTAGACTGTCTAGTGTCTACAGTCAGTCAGTCAGTATCATTACATTGATTCCACATTTCCACGTAACAATCGTAATATGTGAAGTTAGATTATCGTAAAAAACTTTATTTAGTCAGTCATTTTACGTGAAAAATTTTTTGATCCTGTCACTAATAACTAATATAATTATGATTATTCATGTTTACAGTAAAAAAAGTGAATTTGATATTACATTGTAATGACTTAAATAATATTGAATAAAATTTGCAAAGTTGAAGTCAGTGATTTAGGTAATTTAAAAGAGCACGTTGAACAGTCTTCATATACAAATCAATTTATTATAAGAATATTTTTATTTTTTGTTTATTGGGTAATTTTGTTGATTGTTTAAATGTAAAACTGTAATATGTAATATATTAATGTTACAACTAATGTTTTACGGATTGGCAACTTAATTTTAAAATCCAATAATTTACCATAAAACACGTAACTAATAATCTGAAATTTATTATAACGAACTGATAATCATATCTGAAATGCATTAATCATTTTTAGTATTTTATGTATTAGATTCACATTTTTCATTATATTGTATATTGTTAGTATAGAATAATTTGATCAACAACCGAAAATTAGGAATGTAAGTAAATCTGAAGTTATCTGTTCAATTACAAACTGATTTTATTTATATAAAAAATATAAAAAATAAAATTTACATGTACTCTATAATCAGTGTTGTACATAAATAAATAAATATATATGATAAATAATATAATGCTATAAGATAATATAACCTATACTAAAAATAAATTTGATTCATTTTATTCATTTGTATCATCCATGAATGATAATCTGTATAAAGAATTGATTTTAGATTAGATAAATTCAATTATAATATTTATTAAAAATAAAAATTATAAGACTTACTTTGTAAAATCACTGTATTATTATCAAATTTTGGGATATTTTTTGTAAAAGGATTAAGTAACCGAGATTTATAAACAGCTTGTGGATGAGTACTTTCACCAAAAGCAATAGGTTTTGATCTTCTGTATTCTTCTGCTTCTTTAAATTGTTTTTCAATTTCATATTCCTTTTCAAACTCCATGAATCCTTTAAAGGATGGTCACATCATACATATATGAGATCCAAAATAATGTAATTAATTCAAAAATTTTATCTGCTTCTGGTCTATTATTTGGATTCGAATCCCAACACTGTTTCATCAAATCAATATAACATATAGGTGTATTTGGTTGGCTGAAGAAGCATTAATAAAAATAGTCTATTGCATTTAATTTATATTACATGTTATTTTATTTTTTTTGTGAGACAACTTATCACAATCATTCATAGAATATTTTCTCAAAGTAAATTTTTTAGCTAACACTAATTTAATAAAAAAGAATATTAATTGTAGCAAATTATTGTAAAATACTATTTAATTGTAAAATACATTGTAAATTTAATTGTCAAATGTAAAATTGTTAACATTTATTCTCCTAACTGAATTTTTGATCATACAATATCAAAAACCTGCATCCAACAGATAAAAGAATTGTAGTTATTATATTACCTATTTTCTCTCTCTTCCAGTTATTCCGCTAGTTCTTCCTATTTTTTAGTAATTACTTAACGAAATACACTTCCAATTTTACAGAAGATTTATTTGTCTTCATTTAAATTTCTCTGCATACTCTCTTCCCTCCTTGTGATCAAGTTTCTTCTCTCCACTTCCTTTCTTTGTGCAGTCACTTTGCATTCATTTTTCTTACATCATTTATCTCTTTTTGATTTAGACACCAGTACTATCAAGGAAAAACAGAAAAACTCTGCGTGAAGAAACCACTGAGAAAAAAAGAACAAAGTGTGAGTAACTGTTCGTTAATACAAATAAATCAAAGAAAAAAAACTTATTGAAATACAATACATCCAAAGTGATCCAGAGAGACCCAAAAAGCTGGCTTCCTAAAAAAGAAATAATCCAACTAAATTCCACGTGTCTATACCCAACTAGAAAAAGCAAAACGAAACGTTAGTAAGCATTTCGTTAAAAAATAGTTCAAAGAAAAGAAAAGTTACTGAATTCCCATGCAACAAATACCTGAAGAACAATCTGTCTTAAAAAGAGAGAAGCAATCAAGGAATAATTTAAAATAAAAATAGTAATCCCACTAAATTAATGCGAATTTTAAATTAATAAAAATGTAAAACGTTTTTAAAATATTCAAAAACTTATCCGATTCTTCCATATTCGAGTTGGAGTCAAAGTTCTTACGAAAAAAGCAAAAAAAAAAGTTAAACCCCGTTTTTTTAAAGGTCCGAAAATTTTTTTTGAAACTAAAGATTGAAGCGTTAATGAACGTTTTGTTAAAATAAATGGCTCAAAGAAAAACCCACTACCAAATTCTCACACATCTAAAGAAATCTGCAGTATCAATGCGAGAACTTCTCTATTGTAATATGATACCGTGGATTACATTGCGATAGCTGGAAATCATAAACGAAAGTGGATTCTGGGACAATTATAAATTCTTATGTGAGAAATTTCGGGACACGCATCTACTATTCTACTATGATAATAATTTATTGATTAACAGTTAATGTTATCATCATCCAAATCATGAAGTTCTATACACCTAACAAGCTTTCCATATTCACGTTGTTTAACGTGATTTTTTTCACCAACTGTTGCGTTCACAAACAGGACAATATGTTTAGGATACTCTCGAGGGACAAAAAGGTATATTTATATACAGTTACAGGAGAAGGAGGGAGATCCCAAACTTAATGTGTACTTTGATTTGATAATAATATCAAAGTACATAGTTATTTTTTACTAAATAAATTGCTTATTTACTTTATAAAAACAATATATATATATATATAAAGATTAGTCCATTGATTCTAATTACATCATTGCTGACTACTAGAATATGTTTGTGGGCTATCAAATATTCAAGTAAAAAATATATGTATTAATGAATGCGTGATTTAAATGAAAAAAGTTACCGATAAAAACGTTAATGTGAAAATTTAATTCAACATTAAACTCATTAAGCTATAGAAATTTTTTTTAAAAAAAACCAAAATGTAAAAATAATTCATGCGGGTAACCACGAGTATTGTTGAACACATATTAAAACAAACGTAACATGAAAATCTGCAATAAATATTATTTTTTTCTTTCCTTTTTTACAGTTTTTGAAAACCGTATTTTTTATTTTTATAACTAGAAATCATACCCTCCAAAAAACATAAACATATCTAAAAAATAGTTTATTTTTTATTGTAAAAATTTAGAAAATCGTTATAACTTAAAATATTTATTGTAATATTAAAATTTTATCTCTGAAAAATTTCTGGAAAAATATTTGGTAGTTTAATATGTGCTAAAGCTCTATCACTATTGATAAAATTTTTCGGACTTAAGGTGAACGAAAATTTGTAATATATTCATTTGAGAGAAATATCTTTACGTAAAGCTACTACAAATTTCAATTAAATTAAGAAAATATTTCATAAATTTATTAATTTACTGCCTATAAATCACTTCTGTTTATTATGATCTTTCCAAGTGCATGGATTTGTAATCTGTCTTTCATACTTATTATTAATTTCTTTTTTTGCAAATTATTCCAATCCCTTTTAAATCTTTTCACCATGAAAGTTTTTCCCAACCACATAAATATTTATTATATTGTTGTTGATGATGTGGAATTAAACGAGTAAGAAGAATATAAATTACCAAATCAAGACATGGTCGAATAAATTTTTGAAACATTGCAATTAAAATCTACTCTACTAGTTAAATATTCATTAGTGTTGATTTCTAAAATTCTTTCAAATAGTTGTTTTGACATTTCTTCTAGAGTTAAAAGTCCTACCTCTGTGTTAGATTGATTAGATTGTTTATATTGCAAAGTAGCTTTATGACGACATATATTACAAGTTTTAATTTGCTGAGTATTTTCATTAATGAAAGCTTCTAGAGGTAAATTTTTTTGACATTTTTTACATTTTTGTAAATTACCAGTAGTTACAATATCCATATTGAAAGTAATAAAGTTATTTAATTAATTATTATTTATGTAAACTTTAATCTCAATCATGTGATATGTGATGATCACATGATTTACGCAGAATTTTTTGGGGTGCTCTTGGGGTAGTTGGTCAGAACAACTAGGTACGATTATCAAAATAATAATATGAATGTCAATTTAATACTTCATATTTTTATGTTAGAAAGTTAGGAGTCAACTACTTGTTTTTTTTTTCACTGCAATACATAATAGACACATACGCTACCAACCTTGTAATCATATAATATAGTTGGGCTAATTTTTAACATTAAAAAAATATATTACGTTTGACCATCAAATAAAATATTTTCTTATTAGTGAATTATCAAACTCTTTATTTGCACAAAAATCATATTATAAATAAATAATTATAAAAGTATACGTTTTGCAATTCAAAATAAATTCGCGAAAATTATTATACATTAAATAAAGACAAATTATTTTGTGCTCACATTGAGCCAATAAAAAATATATTTATACAAAACCTTTAAAGTGGCGTGAGTATCTAACGTAAAATTTATGTCATTTGTGAAAAAAAAAATAAGGTTTTGTTTACGAATACATAAAAAGAAAATTCGTTCTATTTGCTATATTAAATACATATACATATAACTAATATTCAACTATTAAATTAAAAAAAAATGGAGAAAAGAAAAACTAACCCAAACTTTTATAATGTAAGGTTAGACTACACTACAACCACAAGTTAATATAAAAATTAATACTATAAATTTGACTCATCAATATTATTAATATCTATATCAAATTCCTTGGTAACATATTCTATTTTTATAAATTAAAAAAAAATTAAAACTATTATTTATATATTTTTAAAAGAAAAACAGAGTATTTACTCACCGTTATGTTGTTGTTGACTCATATTTGCGTTAATATCTAATTCGATTTCTTTCGTAAGATAATCTAAAGAAGAATTTAAATCTATTTAAAGTTAAGAATTTACATAATAATAAAAATGTTATTTATCTAAAAATAGAATTTGCTTACCATAATTTTCATTCTCAAATAATTTTCTCCTTTTAATACTTTGATCTAAATTGTATTTTTAAAAAAAATTCGTAAATGAAAATTAAAATAATTGAAGACACAATAAAATATATAGGGTTATCAATTTTTATTAGATAATTATGCATGGAATCTAACTTTATCATACCGTTGATATTACTGTCTTCAACCGAACCTTTATCAACCTTTCTTTTATCTTTAAAATTATAATATTATTAATATTAATACAAACGTCACATTAAACGAAACCCGAGTAATTACCAGCAGAAGATGCCTTGCTATTTTTCTGATAATAATAAAATGGATCTAATGGATCTAAATAATTATTAAAAAAAAAGTCAGAATTTTTCTGCAGTATTCAGTATAATAAAATTATTTACCGATAGATTGACTTCTTGAACTCCTTAATGACATTGCAGATTGAATCATGTGACTTAAAGGTCTACTCTTATAAACGGCGCCTAGATTATTTATTGTTACAGGTCCAATATCTGATGATTTTATAATTTTAGTTAAACTTGTACTATCATTTTCATTTATAAACATTGCCCAAATTTTGCCAGATATATTATTAACATTTGGTCTTTGTTCTGGATCAGAATGCCAGCATTCTTTCATTAATTCAATATATTCTTTAGGTGCATTTGTAACAATTGATGGTCGTAAACCATCACATATTTTGATTATAAGTTCAATATCATGATTTTCATTCCAAAAAGGCCTTCTACCTGTCATAAATTCCCACATAATCATCCCATAACTATATATATCCGAAGCTTCTGTATATTTTTGCCCTTGAAAAATAACTGGTGCCATATAAGGAATAATACCATAATTCTCATTGCTATCTTCTGTACATTCAATTGCAGATTTACTTATTCCAAGATCACCTATATGCGCAGTATGTCCATCGAAGAAGATATTTCCACTATGTAAATCCCTGTGAACAATTTTTGCTTTGTGTATATTATTAAGTCCAATTGCTATATAACATAATTTATTCAACTTTGTTCCCCAATTAATATTATAAAATTCGTTACTTATATAATGTATCAAATCACCTGAATTATAATATGGCATAATAATTATAATATCTTTGGTAATAGGATCTTGAGTAATTCCAAAATAATTACTAATATAACTTTTATGTGCATTCTTATCTGAATAAATCTGATAAAATATCTTGAACTAATTAATTTATCATCATCATATTGAAGATTTAAAACATATAGAATTTGCCATACCTCATTCAGTTCCTTGGGTGTAATGTTTTTAGAATTGTTAAGCTTTTTGAGAACAACGGTATAATTTTTTCTACGAGTAATATTCCAATAATCATCTTTAATCCTATTCCAATTATTGATAGGACCATCAACCCAAGTAGCTTTATAAATTTTACTAAATCCTCCTTCAGCAATAAATTCTATATTGGTGAATTGATCATAAGGAATAAGCTCCATTTTACCATCTTCTATAAAAGCATAATTACTTTGAGTATATCTGATAAAATCGTCAACAACTTTGTTTCCACTTTGTTTAGGCTTAAGTATAGTCTTTATATTGTAACACACGTGACAAATCTCGTGACTTTTATCAAAAATTTTTCTTTTTCTATTACATTCATTACATTTCTTATATATGTTTTGTGAGTTTTGTGTCGGCTGAATTGAAGGCGTGTTGTCCGATATTAAAAAGTCAATTTTATGTTTATAATATACTGGTTGCTCCATTACTTCAAATTATCTAAAATAAAAATTTCATTTATTTGTAACGTTCAAGTAAACTTTCTAGTATATATATATGTAGTAAAATTTAACACGGAATTTTTTTCCAAATTTCCATGAAAAATTCTATGCATTCATTCCTTGCGAGTAAATAATCTAGAAGCTTATTTTGGAATGAAATTTAACAAGAATTCCATCAAAGAATAAATAAATTCTATAGGTATCGAAGTAACGGAACTTTGCAATATATAAATAGGTAACAAGAGATTGGCACTCATTCACTATTAGCTCTATGTATCTCTTCAGGGAATGACATAATGCCGCCTGTCATTAACAAAAAGGAAGGATCTACACTTTATTTGGGTTACCTTTCTATGTATTGCTCGGCTCCTTCTTGCAGAAAATTCACGTGGGGACAATAATATGGCGCAGTTGCATTAACTTAGCGTGAAAATAATAAAATTTTTTTTTTGACTTTCTTAATCAATTAATATATAAATTATATGACCCATAAAACCTTTTTAAAAAGCCTTTGTTGTCCGAGAATGTAGAGGAACAATAAAAAAACAATGATTACTACGCAGAGATTTCCGTTGTGCAAATATCAAACATAATTAATTATAAATTTAATGTGCACACAATTCTAAAAAAAAAAACATTTCGTTCAATAAGATAGGATTTCTAATTTTTATGGTAAGCTTCTACAAATTTTAAGTCACTTTCGTAAATTTACATTTAATTTAAGAATTATAATTAGAACGTAACTAATTTTTTTATTAATTCATTGATAAAGGAATATAATATTTTAGATTTAAATCTTGGATTTTGCAGAGAACTATGAGAATGATAAACCAACTGCGAAAATTATTAATGACAAAGGGTGAAATATTCAATTAAATTGGACAAGCAAAGTCTTGATAGATATCTTAAAATAAACCATTTACCGGATTAAAAAAAACAATGTTACAGTAATAAAGTAATATGGCACCTAATTACCTATATTTAGAGTCTATTAATTAGGCTTTCATTAAAATTTAAAATTTTCTTTATAATAAAACATAAATAACTTTCTACAGTAATGAATTTATCTAGTTTAATGAGCTAATGTATTTACTAATTATTAATATATAATGGTTAGAGCATTATTATTTTATTTAACTTTTACAATCATGTAGATTTGTATTTAATATAATACTGAACATACAGTAGTTATATTTACAATATGATTATTATATTAAGTATTATAGAATTTATGGTTTATTCAGACTCGAATAATTAATTGTTCCAAAAAAAAATATAAATTTCTCATCAAGAATATTATCATACGAATGTATTATTACAGAAGATTATATCATAGTAATATATTTAAAAAAAATTTATATCAAAAAAAAATTCCCATTATCAAATCTATTGTTACAAAAAAAAAATATTCTTATCACCAAAACTTATTGTTATTACTAAAAAAAATTGATAGAACTATTACTTAATAATATTAAAATGACGCCAGTTACCGGGAAGCAAAAAAAAAAGTAAATTTTTTTTATAATAGTGTTAATCGAATAATCACATGACCGGCGATCATGTTACGAATGTTACGAATGTTACGAATGTTGCAAATGTTACGAATGTTTAATATGTTTAACATGTTAAACATATGCAACATATTAAATATATAACACATATTTAACATATTACATTTGTTAAATATATAGCATTTATTTAATATTCTTAACATGATTAGCATAGAATTTATTGTTATAAATACATGCGTTCTAAATCAATGTAATAATAGATAATTCTGTTATATTTTAATAAAGCATTTATTAAATAAATTATCTCATTGTTTATTTTATAGTTTGTTATATTTGTGAGTCAGTATTTGCGTCTGAGTGTATATGCCCGTGTGTGCAATACCGTATTCGCATTTGACTGAAATTTCATTTTATTTTATTGTGTAACCTTCGTAAATCGATCGACAGTGATACATTTACTAATAATTTCATATAGTTTATTTCACTTTGCGTTCATTAACATTATTTAATATTTATTTTATTCATAATCCTTCTGCTTAACATACACCCATACGCTTATTTTTATAAGCATACAAGAACTGGCATAACAATAGGGAATTAACTATTAATTAATATTAGTAAATGTCAGTTACCAAAGGGCAAAGTCCGATCTATTGTTGGAAAAAAAATTTGATTCTAGAAAAAAAAAATAAATAAAAACGATCTATTATTAAAATAAATAAATGAAAATTACTAAATGATTCTGTTGTTAAAAAAAATAAAAAAATTAACTAAACGATCTATTAAGAAAATAAAAAAAAAAGTTACTAAACGATCTATTAAAAAAAAATAATAATAAATTATTAAATGATCTATCATCAAAAAAAAATAGATTGTTAAAAAATAAAAAAATTAAATGAAAAAAAAAATCCTNAAAATTACTAAATGAAAACAATTCTGATTGTAAAAAAAAAAAAAAATTAAAAAATTACTATTATGGTTATTAAAAAAAATAAATTAAAAAAATTACTAATCATAAAAAGAAGAGCAACTACAGGAGATCATCATGCAAAGATAGCTTATAAAGGCACGTGTTAGGAATCACGTGTAGTCATTATACCAACGCTTCTACAAATACTTTTGGTGTGGTTATTTTCGTAACGCTTTGTTATTTGTGAAATCTGAGAACATGTCAGCTTCTGTCGTTGGAGAACCAGATTTTGTCATAGTTGATAATAATATTTAATTACTCTTACCTTGGGAATCCAAAACTTAAATTTTTCTATTTCTCTTACTAGTAAGACAAAGTAAATCTTGATGCCAAACTTTTCATTCAAGATATTCTTTATTGCTCTCAATCCATCTTGCTTTATATTATGCTTCTTAAAAATGGTCACAGTATGCACTTCGGTTGTATAGATTTTTCACCAATAACCAATCCGAGTATAATTTGATTTCTTTTCGAATATAATCACATGATAAAATTTCAGTGACGGTTGTTCAAGATCAGTTAATTTCTGGCAGGATCAGTTGTTTAATCTTCTACATTGTCAATAAAAATACTTATCATAATTTGGGTAACCACTGCCACCATCTCTATAATACTTAATAAATTCACTCACATACTACGAAGTGACGAAGTGTAGAAAAATCGAATCCAGAAAATACCGGATCTCAGGCTAAAGCTTGAGAAATAAACCCTGCAGTTGCTGTGGAATGTACAAAATATTATTGTGAAAAAAGTTATCTAGCGTCAGAATTGCAATACAAACATGGACAGAGATATCGAGTATCTTACTTCGGGCGTTGCTTGATGGAGCCGTGCATTTGCATGCATGAAATAATAGACACTGTTAGTGATAGTATGTTTGTTATTGATAACAAAATCCATCCGATTAATGCATGTATTCATATGTAACAAAAATAGCAGTATAATTATTGTGTATATTACACGACTATATAATTTATTCAATAAAATAAATCGTTGCCAAAAGCAACAACTAATACATAAAAAATTGCGAATATACCGCCATTACAGTGCAATGTGCAAAATGACAAATATTTTTTTTGCAACTTCATATATTCTCCTTGTCTTTCTTCATAACTATTTACGAGGATACTACGGGTGTACTCTTTGTATCATTGAATTTTATATATTACATAAACTCTTGAGTTAACCCTAATGTTATTTTGTCCTATAAATGATAGCTCCTATAAGTTGTTTATCAACATGCTTTGTCAATTTTCTACCTTTAAGTGCCAACTGATTTTTGCTAGAAGATGGTCGAGGTGTTGCTCGTTTATTCTTTATCAAAATGTTAACATTTTCTGCTTGGGGACCATATACTGAGAAGTGATCATCAGCTTCGTTAAATTTCCCGTCACGAGAGTTTCGCACCACACGCTTCCATTTCTCAAGATCTTGACTTAGATCAAGGTGATCGTGTTTTAGCAGTAATTCAGCAGGAATGTCATACACCAATATTACACATGAATTTGGGTTCAGAAAACGTTTTCGCCCCCACTCGGCTGCCCATCTAAATTCGTCATTAAGGTGAAATGATGCAGATCTACCAAAGTCCTGATTTCCATGACACTTGCTCACATCAATGCCATCTTTGATAATAGATTCAGAAGACCTCCGGTCAGTGGTGTGAAAGTAATAGGTATGATTATCAGAGGACTGGTATGATTTCTCAGACAAAAGTAAATTAAGCTCCTCATCATCACCATTTGCTGGTATTTTATTTACAACAAAAAGATTTGGTAATCCTCCATATGAAACCAAGGTATTTTCAGGTGCACTTTCAATGAAAGAATTAAATTCGCATGAAAGAGGGTTAGTTTGTTGTGAAATCCATTCATTAATCCAGTATTGGGGTGTTTGATTTTGCAAAAAACCTTCTGAAACACTATTGACAATGGTATCAGCTGTTTCTGGGGTGATTGCAAAACAAGATGATAACCAAGCACTTGGTGAGATGTTTTCATTCCAGATATTGGTCTCCATTTCGGAAACATAGGAAAGAAGCCAATATTCGAGCGTCTGGGTTTCTAATATATCATCCGAAATAAATGAAAGCCATTGAACGAATTTATCTCGAATAAAACCAAGCAGAACAGCTTGATTCGTAATATATTCTTTTTCTTCCATATTCTCTGACGTTGTAGACACACTTTCATGCGATGATCCAGATTTTTCTAGATGTACCATATAGTGGGTTAATAATAGATAGATAATTCTCATTTTAATATTTAAACGTGATAAAGTTTCCGAACCTGTTACATTTAATTCGTTCATTTTTTCAGGCAAATATTCATTCAGGTTTAGTTCTTGCTTCAGCATTTCGTAAGATCTATCTCCGATAAAAAATTTGAAACGTTGTTTTTGAAATGAAGAATGATTTATCTGTGGCGAGCATGCAATTAGTACAATTGAAGTCATTGAACACCCCATTTATTAAAATTAGCAAATACCTTAAGATATGCCTTCATAAACTTATTGAAACTAAGAAATATTTTTTTATTATATTTTATATATGCTATTCCATTGCGCGCACATAATTTGGCAAGAGATTCTTTCTCATTTGTTGATTTCCAGAATGTAATCTCATCGTTTTCACGAACAAGACTATTGCAGAACGCACGTTGTAGCATCAATTTTCCTGCTAGAGACTTAGATGAGTATTTCATCAAACTTTTTTAATAATAAGAAAATTTTTCGGACTTGATTTTCACCTATTCTTTTTTTAATAAATTTAATTTGTGTCAAGACATTGCCGAGTCCTAACTTTGAAAAATGTTCAGGTTCCTCGAACATTAATTCTTCTCCGGTAATATTGGCCTCCTCCAATTTGGCAGCTTGGTTGGAATCAATGTGGATGCCACAGTGTTCTAATCTGTCCTTAATATCTATTGGTGATTTCACTCGACAAATTTTTTCCCAATTTCTCTCTTCATTAATCTTCTCAATCAACTCTTCTATTTTTTTAGCTTGTTCATGCATAAGTTTGAACGAATTCCTAAGTTCTTCATATTTCAAGTGAAGAAGCGTATGGCCATCGATGTTTTTCCGGTAGAAAATTTGAGAATCTTCTCCACTTATACAGTGTTCTTTTTGTAAATATGAAACAACATTGTACGCATTAAAATCATAAATTTCTTCAAAAGATTTTTGAGTTAATAGCATGATAAAGGATAACAGGTAAAAAGCTTACATGAAAAAAAAAGAATGTTAGCAGAAAGTTTAATTTGTACATAACCCATGAAATGTGCGACATACACATCGAGGACACTGCCAAAATTCCAGACATAAGATTTTGATTATCAATTGATATTTTCACCCCAGCCAAATAATCAACATAGTTTATAAGCTGGAGTTTTGAAACTACCCATGGGCATATACAGCCCACAGGCTCTGATTGGTCTAAAAGTAAGGATATTATTGTCCATAATAATGGACTATACTGGACCTCACCATCAAGGACATTATCATTCTCATATTGAGGACAATAGACCATGTTAGTCCTCATTATGAAGGACATTATTGTCCTTACTATGTAGGAGAACATTATTGTCCGCACATTATTGGAGGACCATGATGGTCCTCACCATGGAGGACATTATTGTCCACGCATTATTGGAGGACCATGATGGTCCTCACTATAGAGGACACTATTATTGTCCTCACATTACATTATTGGGGGACCATGATAGGACATTATTGTCCTCACATTACATTATTGATTGTTCTCACATTATTAAAGGACTATGATGGTTCTATAAAGAACATTTGTTTTCATATTAAAAAATTATTTAATAATAAAAAATAATAAACATTTAAATTTAAAAAAATTACATATTGGCATAAAGTTATAATCATACAAAATATAATAAAATACCTGAATTTATCACTAGTAATTATTAGTACCATTAATTTTAAAAAAATCCATTTAAATTAATTTTCTTATTGATGTATAATAATGATTAAAAAATTTTTTATTTTATATTATATGCTACTTTATAATGATAAAAAAATAAAAATACCAATTATTACATAGTATGATTTTATAAAAAACTAAATAATAAAATTTTTAAACATCTTCTAAATGTAGTTTTTATACAATTTGATAAAATGGTAAAATTATACTCTGAAATTGATTTAAACAAAAAAAATTAGGACATAAAAATACCAATTATTACATATGATTTTATAAAAAACAAAATAATAAAATTTTTAAACATCTTCTAAATGTAGTTTTTATACAATTTGATAAAATGGTAAAATTATACTCTGAAGTTGATTTAAACAAAAAAAATTAGGACTAAGTATTAATAAAAGTAATGAAAAACATAAAAAATATTAAAAACAAACAAAAAATCTTATAGTAAATATACATGAACTGATTTGTTTTTTGTTTTTTGTTTTTTTATTAGTGATAAATGTAAAGATCAATACATATGGGAAGTCTAATGACTTATACATAGGAAGGCAGGCAATATGGTGAACTAAAACGAAAACTATTCAACTAGTTTCTATATAAGTTCTATCTAATACCTACACTATAGTGTCATAATCCTCAATTTGGGAAAATGACCTATATCCTCCGCCCTATAAACCTGACTAGAATAAAATTAGTTTTTTATTTATCGCACCAAGTAAAATATAATAATAAATTTGTGAAACCTAAATTAATCTAAACTAAATTAATTTACGCAAAACATCTATAATTTCCGTAAGACCTTTGATCTCGATACTTTACGAAATTTGTCTTTTTTATCCTTCTTGGATTTTTTATCAGACTTCGTCTCTTGTGGTTTCTTTTTAGAATTCTTTGAAGAATTCTGCTGTTTTTTCTGGGTCTGTTGACTTCCTGAAGTTCTTTGGTTCTTGTTAGTATTATTACCTTGTGACCTTGTTGGTTGCTTTGGAGGTACGTGTTGATTTCAAGACAGGTTCACTTGTTCCCAAGTATATTGATTATCTAATGTTGTGCGCATATCAACCCACTTTTCAAAATAAACAATAAACTTACAATCCCTTAACTGTTTGTATAATTTTAAAACTTTTCAAACCTTTTACGGCAGAAAGGAATGAATGTGGGCAGCTATCTTTCCATAAAGTTGCTAACGTCATAAAATCTGGAATGTTTCTAATCGTAGCTTGGAACTTCTTGCGTTGTTTTCTTTCTTTGAGAGTCCACTTAGCTGGAAACTACCATACAGATATCCTCCCTAAATCTGTAGTTTACACAGGATTTCATTAACTTCGAATTGGGCTAAATGGAAGGTACTCAATTCTATTGACAAACGAACTGTCTGGTATTTTCTTTGTTATTTCATTTGCATACTAATAGTTTTTCCCCATAGAGTTAATTGTTTTAGAATTTCCTCTGGCGTCCAGGATACCAGAATATCATATACCAAAATGTCTCTGACTCGCAATGTACCCTCATCAGTTGGTATATGACCTGTAATAGCTTGTTGAACTAAATTTTTATTTGACTTTTTCTTTTTATTTGAAGATTTTGTCAAATCCATTATGATGTTCTGTGATTGAGAAATTGCCTGCAGCATGGGCGTTTTTTCAATCTGTTTCATAATTGGTGTATCCGTGACGATTTCCATTTTTGATGATTGATCAACATTTGGGCTGTTATCAAGATTAATTCCAGATTTGATCATCTTCATTGGATCTACAATTGGTTGGTCAATTGAGATAATCTCATCAGCAGCTTTCTCCATCAGTTCATTAATTGTTTGATCTAATAGATCATCAGAATCACTCCCATATTGGTAAGTGAAATCTGAATCAGAATCATGGTGTTGGGTTTTTTTCTTTTTTTTCTTATCTTTTTTGAACCTGTGCTTTATTCCCGTCTTAGATTTTTCCTTTTCAGGAGTACACTCCAAATAACGCTTTTTTGCTTTTTGGATCTCTTCTATTTTTTGCTGTTTCAAATCCATAGAAGTCACATGTTCTGCTATTGATGTTGCCAACATATTTCTTTTATCAGCCGTTGAATGCTCTGCTGTGGCAAAACCCTCTACAGCAGAATATATAGCAGTGTGTAAAAAAAAAGCAAACTTTCTGGAGTCATTTGATAACGAGAGGCCCTTGGTCCCCAACTATTTATGTCTTCGTCTGTTAAACTGAAATTATTCTGTAATATATTATGTTGAACTTCTATATCTCTTCCAGTAAAAAACTGAGCGGCAAGACCTTCACTAAAATTTAAATAATTTATATATGTGGTTCGTAAAAAAATTTGTTGTTCTGTGCCTTCAATAAGTGGAAACTTATTTTCAGCTATTTGTATATTTCGTTTATCTTCCATTTTTTTAAAAACTAAGCAAAATAAAATTTTACTGCAGAATTGTTATGTTTTTTTAAAATTTTGGGGAAGAAAGCTATCTATATGGGCTATATGGGCTGATTTGTTTACTCTGCATTAAAAAGAGTTATTGATTGATTTTCGCAATTTTTGTTACTCAAAATTGTTTTGTAATACCAAAAAATCATCTGATTGATGATCACTTGACTAAATAATAAGTTGAACAAAATTTATATTTGTGAAACTTAAATTATTAAATGTAAAAGAGCTGTAAAAAAACCCATTTCACTAATAAAAAACCCATTTCTCATATATATGGAATTTTTAACATATATTATTAAAAAGTAAGTATATTTTAATAAAATATAAAGTAAAATAAAAATTTATATAGCCTTAGTAGCTATAAATGTTTATAAAAGTATAATAAAAATATCATATAAAAGATGGTATCATAATAGATATTTTCAAACAATAAAAATAATTATTTTATATC